TTCAGTTCCTGGCATCCACATCAGCTGGTTCACAGCAGTCTGGACCCTACCTCCTAGGGATCAGACTCCCCTTTGGGCTTCCTTGGGTACCTTATGCACATGTGACATGCACTCACACTGATATACATAGATAAAAATAGATCTTTCCTTTTTAAACAAGCTGCTATCAGATGTTTTTCCTAATGTAAAATTGTTTTGCCAATTTATATAAAGAATACAACTGCAGATTAGTAGCTGTAGACCTTATTCACAACTTCAAGTTAACCCTGTAGAACTCTAGGTAAAGAACACTAATCTCTGGCATCTAGAAAGCTCCCCACTTCAGGGAAGTTTGGCTTCCCTGGATAAGAGATGGGTGCCACCTCTATCAGTTCCTATCTCACCATCCCTAAAAAACAGCTTCAAGTTTTTGTTCTGTTTTGAAATAGTGCTTTTTTTCCATCCTGAATTTTCCCAAACTATTTCAGGACTCTGACAATCCTGCTGGTGACTAAGTCTCCTCTTGGGAATAGTTGCCTTGTTATCACTATTAAAAACAGTCACTCCTAATACTTGACTGATAAGGATCTGGAAACTTATTGTAACTTGGGGAATGCAAATCCCACCCTATCCAGTCTGAAGATAAATTTGTTGCACTTGGAATAAGGGCTCATCCCCTCACCACCTGACACTCCAGCAATCTTTGTGTTCCAATCAAGCTTTTCAGTTTTCCATAATTTCTGACTAATATTAAGATTTTATTACTATTTCCTTCCTTAAAACCAGTTAATCCATGAATTACTGTCACTCCCCATTCCCCTTCCTCACTCAGGAGCAAATGCCCTCATATTTCTAAGGTAAAAGAGTTTCCCAACTGACCCGTCTCTGAAATATTTTTTACAGTGTTATTTGGTAACTTCTGTTCTTGGCAAGCTAGTCCTCCTGCCTGGAAAATAAACAGTAGATAACCTCAAGAGGTCTTTTCCTAAACCCATCAAATGGAACAACTACTTACAAACTTAATTCTTCCAAAAAGTGTATCCAAAACAGAGATGAGAAAAAGTCAAAAAACAAAGGAAAAACAAATAATCACAACTACAAATTTATCTTTACTTTTACCCAAACTCAGTATTAGAGACATGTGGCATCAGCATAGATTATCAGCCTGGAAACCCTAGATTCAGTCTGCTAGAGGACATTCCTAATGCACTTACAGAATGCCACCCCTAAACCAGAACCAAAATGAGCTATTTAATCCTTAATCTTTAATCCAGGGGAGTGCAATAAACTTCTCTGGCAGAGCCTTTAGCTCTTCTCAATATTTTAAACCCAAGTGTGTGTGAATGTTTCACAAAAGAAAATCAATTCTAAAATCAATCTAGGAACTCGGGCATGCTAGGTAAGCACTCTAGTACTAAACCATATGCCCAACCCAGTTTCTTATCCCCTATCTCCAAGGCAGAGTGTCTACTGTAACCCTGACTGGCCTAGAATTCACAGAGATCTTCCTGCCTCTGCTTCTAGTTTTTCCTTTTTAACAAATTAAGTAACATGCTCTAATAACAATTTTTATTACCTTGATTTCTACTTAGTAACCAACATAAATATTTATAAAATTTCTACAGCAAGCAGGATATGATAAAAACATTACTTGTCCTGCTCAACAAGAGGGAGACCACACCTGGTACTAGAAACTTCACTAGCTACTCAGTGCTAGTGAAGTCACTGGTACTGGAGGAGAACCTATAACCAACTACTTTACTAAATGAGTACAATCCCTAACAACTATCTAAACATTTGTCTTTATACTCAAACAAGTATAGTTTTCATCAAGGAAATTTCTTGTTACAATAGTCAGGCAACCACTACAGAAAATCAATCAAAACACAGAGTGGTAGATAACTACAAAGCAGTCCCCACCAAAGGCTCAGCCACTGCAGATCAGGGCGTCTGCTGTGAGAGCGCCTCCAGTAACATCAGAAGCTACCCCACCAGTAAGTCTCGCCAACATGACTGCCCAAACAGGAGCTGAAGGATGACAACAATACACATGCCAAAGTGGAGGGGAGAAAGCCCAAAAGACCTCAAGCCTACACAAAGAACTGTAAGCGACTAAGAGAAGCTGGGAGTGAGAGGTGCTCCTCCACAGTGAAGAACACACCCATTACTCACTCAACACCAAATGGTCAGACCTGAAAGCACACACACAAGTAACGTTATACAGACTGTACATTGTGTTTAGGAGGATATGTGTTAGGAACTAGCAGCCAGCTGACCTCCTGCCCCGATGATGGGCTGATGGGCGGGACACTCATGGCTGTGTCATCGCTACTTCAGCTTTACCTGGCGGCCAGAGGACTCAGTTACGCATGCGCAAGCCTCTTTTAAAGCAAGCACGCCAAGTGCTTCTCTCTCTTTGCTTTCTCTCTCTGCTCTCTGCTCTCTTTGGTCTCTGTTTCCTCTCTCTCTCCTGCTTTCGGTTGGCCACCAGCTACCCCCTCTTTCTCTCCCCTCTCTCAATAAACTCCACGTGGGCGCTGAGTCTCGTGTTTGTGTTTCTTAGGCATTAGCTGCAGCAAAAGAACAACAATATGTGCATGCCATATCCATATGTGCATGTAATAGCAATTAGTGAAAAAAGTAGGTCGTAAATTTGAAAGAGAGCAAGGAGAGGTATATACAGGATTTGGAGGGGGGAAAGGGAAGGGAGAAATGTAATTATACTATCTCAAAAAAATTCTTTTTACAGAGAGTAGTTATACTTTTTATTGATGACAATGTCAAAGGCATTGATAACACTGGTAGAGTTGGAAGAAAATACTGTTTCTTAGAAATTAGCGAAAGCAAGAACTGTTTGTAACTTTTTCACCATCCAACTACAGGTACAGCCCCCTCCCCACCCCACCCTCCAAGCTTTTAAAACATACAGCAGGCCAGCAATGGGTCAGTAATGAAGCAAGCCTGATGACCCAAATTCAGTGTATAAACACCTGGTAGAAGAGAACTGAGTCATAAAAGTTACCCTGTGTCCTTACATGTGTGCCGCACACTTCCACACAAACACACAGTAAAAATGAAGCAAAATGTAAAAAGCCATAATCAGTGAGGAGCATTTAAAGAGTTACTGATGATCACATCCCACAATATCGTTATTTAAGTATCAACCAACTAAGCAAGTACATACGGTACTGATTAGCTGAAGTACTCCAACCCCTAAGCACAGCGTATTGTTTTCTAGTAAACCACCATTTCCTTCTGATCATATGATCCTCAAATGTAGTAATACTTAATGATACAATGTAAAGAACAATACACTTCAAACTGGAAAAAAAAAAAAACCCATAGTTTTAGTTTCAAACTTAATTCCGTACATATGAAGATGATAACCAGGTTGTAAAATAGTAATTTGAAATGCAAACTGTTAAAACCTCTGACAGTGCTGCATCCTCTCCCTCTTTTTCCTCTCTCATTTTGGTTTTTCGAGACAGGGTTTCTCTGTGTAGCTTTGGAACCTGTCCTGGAACTCACTCTGTAGACCAGGCTGGCTTCTAACTCACGGAGATCCACCTGCCTCTGCCGCCCGAGTGCTGGACTAGAGGCGTGCGCCACCACCGATCAGTGCTGCATTCTCAATGCCAGGGTTATTACAGTGAGCTCTCTGAGAGACCCAAGGCACCACCACTCTTTCCTTCTTTCTGGGTGTACCATATCTTCAGATTCTGGTTTACTTCCTAAATTAAATATGTGTCATCCGGTGGATTTCCCAAAGGATAAACTAACCCTAGAAATCAGTCACTTAAAAGTTTAAGAAAGGAGTAGAGGGGCTGGGACTTAGCAACTCTGTAGCCTATCACATGCAAAGGCCTGGTTTCATCCTCAGAACAGAATCACAAGGTGAAGATAATGTACATAAAGGAACTGGCATTTTTATGACTGCAACCCTCTATGCAAAATGCCTGTTTTCTCTGATTCCCCACTTGTCAGTCAATAAAATGGGAATAAATGCTAAGAGCCACATGAAGGTGCCATGAAGGTCTCTCTCCCAGAGAGGCCAGTAAACATGAACTATTATTAAGGTAACTTTCTGAAGCAATCTAGAAGCTCCCCTGAATGTGGACACTGGATATTTACATTCTCCCTCCATGTCACTTACTAGATACAATAAAGGGAAGGTGCTGGACCACAAGACAGCAACCCTAGTTTAGCAAAGGTGAGAATATCACACATGGTTAAGGCAGCCAGGACTACAAGTGAGACAGAAGGAAAAGCCCAGAGGCAAAAGGTAGTCAGGATAATTTAAGAAAAGCTGACAAGAAACAAGCCAAGCTAAGGCCAGGCATTTATAAGTAATAATAAGCCTCCAAGAGTGTGAACTATTTGGTAGCTGGGTGGTGGGCCCAAAAAAGAAGCAAAGAGTAAAAAACAAACAACAAGAGATAGGTCATAACCCCCTTGACAATGCTCTGTTTCTAAAAATATTTACAATATGATTCATAACAGTAGTAAAATTAGTTATGAAGTAGTAACAGAAAATGTTATAGTTGGGTCACATTAGAAGGTTGAGAATCTTTGGATTAGGAGGTGTGGCCTTTGTGGAGAAGGTATATTACTGGGGTGGACACTGAGGTTTCAAACGCCCAGGACAGACCCAGTCTCTCTGCCCACTGCCTGTGGATAGGTAAGCACTCTGCTCCTGTCCCAGCACCATGCCTGTCTGCCTGCTGCCGTTCCTTGCCACAATGGTCATGAAGTCACTCTCACACTGTAAGCAAGACTCCACTAAATGCATTCTTATATAAGTTGCCTTGGTCATGGTGACACCTTACAGCAATAGAAAAGAACTACACAGCAAAACTGTCTCAAAGAAAGAAGCACCAGCCCAAACTAACCCAGATAAAAGTAAATAAACTTTTGATGGACAAGAGTCACACAAAATTATTTAAGTGCTTAGCTATTCAAACATACAATTAAACTCACACAAGCAAGGCCACTTAACTTTCCACACATTTTGCTTTGCTTACCACTGTGAAAAGAATTCAAAGGAAGACTGAAGCCAGCCTGGACAACACAATAAGACCTCATCTTGCTAAGAAAAGAGAGAAAAAAAAGTCAATGTGGTTAGATATATCGTACACATGTTAAGGTGTGAGTGAGTCGCAAACATTTTAGTTGACAAGGAACACAATAAAGAAAATACAGCAGGTCGGTCGTTCAGGGGCACAAGCACAGAAATGCAGAGCAGATTGTATTAAACACTGGGAGCCGAACTCTGACCTGCCTTGCTCTCCTATTGTGCCTTTTATTTGCAGTAGTAACTACAAGCTATATAAAAGACAATGGCAGTTGTTGTTAGGTTACCTTTATTCTGTGCCAAAGCACACATGCAGCAATTTTGAATAATCAATCTTATGTTCAGGAAAGGCTGTAGCCAAACAAAATGGGTGGAGATCACAGTTAACAATCTTGTAATTAGCTAATAAGACAGAGGAATGAGTGGCCTTCGGCAGATGAAGTGCCCTTTCTCCTGACACAGTAAAAAGCTTACTACTTGAAAAGCAGTATCAAAAAAGGCTTCCTTTTTCAAAGACGCGAACAATGTCAGTTTCTAAACAGAGTTGGAAGACCATATATTATTTCCTTAAATAATTTGTAAACAAAATATACTGATTGGATGGTACATGTAAAATATAATTTTCAAAAGGATGCTCTGCAGAAGCAACTTCAGCAAAAACCTGTCAAAATATTCAGATGCTGCAACTCAAAAGCAAACTTTAAATACATTCAGTAAGAGTGGAAATGGGATGAGGGCCCCAAGAAGCAGCATCAGGTCAAAAGCCTGGTCTGACATATGCTACTCTTTTTACCCATAGGAAGCAAAGTATTTTCCTATACAGTTTCCTAACTTCACTCTCTGTTATATGAAGTCTAAAGCATTAAGCAACTGTTTTTGATACTGTTCACATAACTCAACTTTATGGGCTGAGATGACCCAGAGGTTAAAACCACTGGATTTTCTTCCAGAGAACCCAGTTCAATTCCCAGCACCTACATGGCAGCTCACATCTGTCTGTAACTTCTTCCAAGGAGATCTAATGCCCCCCCCCCTTTAGCCTGTACAGGCATCAGACACAAGAGTGATGCAGAGACATAAGGTGAAGGCAAAACACCCAGACATAAAATTTTAATTAAGAGAAAGAAAATGCCCTACATTTGTACCTACAGAAGGCACTTTTTAAAGGAGGCTCACTCTTCCCAGATGACTAAGTTGACAAAAAGCTAAACACAGGAGCATGCCATTCCTAAGCTCTCATCAAAGGCAGCAGCAACTACAACTTCAACTTTGCCACTTCTGCAAAAGCCACAAGAATTTTCATAACATAGTGTGCGCTCATACACATATACACACACTCACTCACAGGCCAGGAGTCAGACTCACTCTTACACACACACTCACTCATACACACACTCACACACTCATACACACACTCACACTCACAGGCCTGGAGTCAGACTCTCTCACACACATACACACACTCACACTCACAGGCCTGGAGTCAGACTCACACACACACACACACACACATACACACACACACTCACAGGCCGGGAGCCAGCTCTCTTTTCACCATGCACTTGGGTTCTGGGATTGAACTCAACTTGTCAGGCTTGGTAGCAAGCACCTTTCTCCACTTACTGGGCCCTAAATAATTACTTTTTTGTCGATCCATTGAATGTCCTTATGTTCAGCCAGCAATGGATGCTCTAAATGTTTCACAGCCACTCAGAAAGACTCTCAGCTCCAGACATCCTAAGGTATCTTATTATGGCCACAGAAGTCACTGCTTCTGTTTCAACAGCTTCTCTATTAGTCACTGCCTCAGCCACACTCATTCCAAGTGTACTGCCAGACCTAGGAAACTGCCTCTCACCCCACCCCCCAATGTGCCTCCCTGACTCACAACAGACAGGACAGGCAAACCAAGTACTCTTATGCAGCCTAGTGTGACTATGCAAAGTGTGCGGCAAGCAGACAGACCTAAAACTCCATGCATGGCTGGTTATCTAACCAACCTTCCCCTCAAAAAATGGTTCAGTCTGGGAGACATGCCTTGTGTGCACTATGCTGTATAATAGGCCCCAGTAAGACTTAGTTCAGTGACCTTACCAGTTTCATTGACTACTCATGATCCGTCATGATCCGTTACTGTAGTTAGAGTAGGCTGAGCTGGCTGCATGAAGAGCAGATAGCACCAGGGGGGCTATTAGCTCTAAGCACACCCACCAGCTAGAATGGATGAACCTGTGAGAGCAGAGTAGCCAAGAAGGAGGCCACAGAAAGAGGTGGCCTACCCAGAGCTGAGGCTACAGAAGGTGAAGGAGCAGTAGAGAACTGAAACCTGAGAGTAGTGAAAGGGATGCGGATGGTGGCAGGATTGTGACAATGCTACAGGATCTGGTGGCTAAGCAGCACTCAGCAGTACACTGGAAGTCATAACCCTAGGAGCTAGTACTCAACACTTGAGCTGCTAACACTCAACAAACTTCACTTGCCTACTCCTGATTCCTCCCCAGATGATCAACAACACCCCCCCAGCCTAAAACAAACAACACTTAAGACTGAAGCTGCTCATAAGTCCTGAATAAGTAAACTTATGAGAACAAATTAAGTTCCATTATTTTGCCAAAAATTTTTTTTCTAAATTACATACCAGGAATTTGAGTGAGGTTTTTTTGTTTTGTTTTAGGCATTTTCAGACAGGGTCTCACTGTGTCCACAACTAGCCTGTTATGCCTATGTACAGAAGGCTGGCCTCAGACTCACACACAGCAACCCCTTAACTCATTGTACCAGGTACTGGGACTATAGCTGTGAGCCCTCATGCCAGGCTTGTAAATAATCCATTTTTAGAATAACAAAATAAGAAATAAAATTAAAAAAAAATATTCTATATATTTAGGACCTATTTAATGGTCTAAAAAAACAGTTTAATTGACATAACACAGCACACAGAAGACTAACAAAGCATTTCAATCAAGCCCCCACACACTCTTTGAAGGAAGAACTGTTATTCTACTGACACTGCAGAAGCTGCATCTTGCATATTTTGTGAGGGTTTTGTTGCTGCTTTGCAATTGACTTCTATGAATCAAAGAACACCCATAACGACTTTAGATAACATCTAATTTACACCTGAATATATTCTTAGAAATTATTTTCACAGATGAGAGTGACAATTAATTGTGCCAGTGATTTAGAGGATTAGTGTTCCTAACAATTAAACATAGTCCACTATTGACAATATAAAAAGTACAGTCCTCAAAAACAACAGATTTTTTTAGTTCTAGGTAGTAAAATGAAATCACCATGGTAATACTAAAATTGTAAGCATAATTATATACCTAGAGTCAGATTTATTAGATTTGAGGCATTTACTAACAACTTAGTCTCATTGGCAGCATAATGTCACAATAACTAAGCAATAAATCTAGATATTATTCATTCTTTTGTGTAACTTATCACTTGTTTAATTATCTTACACAGAATCCTAAGTTAATTTATATGTTCTTTTATGTTTTGAGGCCCTTTAAAGTTTGCATTTTAAAATATACAAATATGTATGATAAATGAGTGCCTCTATTTCTCTATGATTTAGTTCAATCCTAGGAGTCTTCCTTTAATGACCCCATGTTTAAAGACTGGCACTGTACCTGTGTTTGGCTAACACACTCATTAAATTACTTTACAATACTACTATTAAGTCACTATCACAACAAACCCCCTGCCCCTCTACTTGAGTCCCAGGCAGGTAATTGACCCACTTGATTATTTGTTATCAAACTCTTCTCCTCCAAAGATTAAGTATGAAGATTTGTGTGACATATCTTACATTGCTCTTGAAAGAAAGTTACAGTAGTCAAAGGCAAAAGGCAAAACCCTTCTTTCCAAAATTCTATTCCAACATCCAATTTAGTACCGCAGAAGCAAGCAATGATATGTGCTAGGAAAATGCCACTATTTTTTAGTACTAACTAGTAGCCTAATTGACTATGTAAGTGACACAATAATTTGGTTTCTGTGGTGATATATTATTTATGATTTATTAAAGCTTGCCAGAGGATTCAGAAAACAAAGTCTGCCACAAACTATTGAAGCCAGGCTCACACGCTTAATCCTAGGACTCAGGATTAAAAGGTAGATGGATCTCTGTGAGTCCAAGGCCACCTAGATCTACACAAGATTGATCTAATCCTAAAGAGAAAGAGCTCCACAAAGATGGTCTCAGCACTCCCATTAGGGAGGTAAGACAGGAGCAAGGTCAGTATCGGGCATTCATCCTCCAGCAACATTGAGGATGGGAAGACATTCAGGTGTCTCCAGCCATGCTGAGGAGAGGTAGCAGGATCAGCCCATTCAGCCTGAGGTAGCGGTAAGAGCTAGTGGCCCACTACTTTGCTTCTCTAATCTTCAGATTGAAGTTTGAACTCCACTTTCAGTCTCTGGGTCTTTTATTTTTTGTGTTACAGGTTTCTCAAAAATCTGTAAACATGAGACTTTCTCATCAGCTCACACATGAATAATCTATAAGGAGTAATAAACTCAAGTCTGAAAGAAAGTACATTGACTACTCTCAGCTACAAAGCCCAGTCGTGTAGAACCAAAAGACCAAGTTCTAAGTATTGAGAAAGACAGTGATAATATTCATACTAAAGCCTCATCATTTTACTAAAGCTTCATCATTTAACCTGTAAATTTTTGTTGTTGATTTTGGTTTTCGAGACAGGATTTCTCTGTATTGCTTTGGAGGCTGTCCTGGAACTTGCTCTGTAGACCAGACTGGCCTCAAACTCACAGAGAACTGCCTGCCTCTGCCTCCCAAGTGCTTGGATTAAAGGCGTAGCCATCAACACCCAGCTTAACCTGTAATTTAATTAACTCCTGGCAAAACAATCATATTTTAGTGCTTACCTTTAAAATTAGAAAATGTGTTCAGTTGTTTCTCCATTCTGTAGGAAGTCTCTCTACAGTCTCAGACTTGATATGTTGGTGTCTCCAAGTCTGCCCTTCATCTGGTTTTTTGTTTTCAT